ACATCTTGAAACATTCTCCTTCTTTATCGAAAGTAGAGATTCCTTATTGTACATTCACATGCCCCTATGATGAATTAAGAGATCCCAACAACACTTAAGACAAATCTTTTACGGCTTGCCTTTAAGAGCTATCAAAGATCAATAACGCATCACAGGACAACCATGATGCCTCAGGTCTAAGGACTAATTTGCATTATTGCAACTATGAGTTCTCATTTGACATATAGATAAATACTCCATATGAGAACTACGGTTGATCGCGTTCAGTGTACTCATTCACTAATGAGCACCCACATACTTGTATTAGTGTCAACTACACAAATGGTTTGAGACTAACCATCCTCCCAATTGAGCATACATAATATGTGCTAATTTTGACGGTTTATCAATGCCCATTTGATAACCTATGATTAGGAACATTTTGGGATGCTACAGTTAGAGATTAAAGGTCTCCCGAATCTAATCTTCTTTAGATTACTTTATCTCTTATTTAGCATACCCGGGACATTTGTTTCTTTACACGATGTAAAAGATAACAAATAAGTTTGCCCTTTATATATCATATACGAAATGTATTCTAAGGAGATTACATCAAATGTATTGGTTCTTAGGGCACATTTCTAACAGCGTTAGCGTTGTACAGAGATAGGTTTGGCATGATAGCTCGCTTGGTTACGGCAGCTCAATGTGTACTTGGGCTGCCATGAGGAGATAATTGTGATGTCCATTTGCCTGAGTTCGAAACCAGGCCCCAAAATACTGAGAAAATGTAGATTTTCAGAGAAGGTAATAACTGTGGTAAAAGAATCAGAAAGTTATGCTTGGCTTGAAAGGCTTGTGATGTGGGAGCTAAGTTTTCACAAGTTTAGCGAGAGAGAGAGAGAGAGAGAGAGAGATTTGCATGCTTGGGTTGTTACAAAAGATCTTGCTGGAAAATATGAGTGATGGGGATCACAGGAGAAGGTTAAGCTTGGTCTAAATTTCTGGATTTCTGGGTGTTCTTCGTCGTGTTCCAGCCGTTGTCCTTGTCGATTGCTTCTCTTGCCTTTTTATACACCTTGTGAGTTTACTTCCCCACACGCGTGTACTCCGGTATCAAGGTGGTCCGGCTTGCTCTCTGGCTTCGAGGAGGTCCGACCTGCTTTCTGGCTTCGAGGTGGTCCGACTTGCTCTCCAGCTTCGAGGTGCTTATTTCCTTCTTGTCGTTCTGCCTCCCAGCTGAGATGACATAGCTTCTTCATTTTATGTAGTTGCCGGGTAAGGAGTTTTTGGGTTGTTGGTTTTGCTGCAGGACCTTTGTTCTACCGCAGGCCTTTGTTTTTGCTGTAGCCTTCGTTTTACCGCAGGCCTTTGTTTTTGCTGCGGGCCTTCGTTTTACCGCGGGCCTTTGTTTTTGCCGTGGGCCTTCGTTTTACCGCGGCCTTTGTTTTTGCTGCGGGCCTTCGTTTTACCGCGGGCCTTTGTTTTTGCCGCGGGCCTTCGTTTTACCGCGGGCCTTTGTTTTTGCCGCGGGAAAGCGATCGGCGACCGGTCGCCAGGTGCAAGCGACCGGTCTCTTTTAGGCAGAGTCTTCAGCGACTGGTCGCTAGTGACAGGCGACCGGTCGCTCCATTGCTGTTTTGGAATCTCGATTCTGTGCAAAAGCGACCGGTCTCCCAGTACTGGCGACCGGTCGCCCAGAACGTGCTGGTGCTGGGCTTTTCTTTCTCTCCGCTTACCTATTTAATGACTCATGAAAATGGGCTTGGCTTTGGTGCCCAGCCCAAAGCCTCCATCTTTGAGCCACTAATATGCCTTGTGTAACTTGTAACCATCCACACCACAAACCAATCAGCAAGCCCCAGGCGTGTAATTAAGTGACTTGGGCCCACTTAAGCTTGTTGCGAGATTTGACACAATAAGGAGTTGCTTGGCATCGCATGTTATCGCATGTTTGTGCTTGGGCTATGTTGTATTGCAGTGGCTTGGGCTTTGCGTTAGATAATGCTTGACAGTGCGATGGGCTTGGTAGGCTTGGGCTTGTGGAACCTTGTAATTCTTACAAGTTTGCATGTGAAAAGTGGTAAACTCGTACCACCACCCCCACGTGTCAAATTGTAGCCTTGCTTGGCACGGTATGTATGTATCGGCTAGGCTATTATTTATAGCATGATAGTGCATTGGGCTTTAAAATATGCATGGGCCTTTCTTATGATTTTTTTGGGCCTTAACAACTAGCGACTAAAATACTGATAGTAAGCAGTCAGTACAATAGTGAAATCCAATATAGTTTCAAGATTTTGTCCTTGATTCGAATCTAAAATACTGTTATTACCCTAGACTGGAACTCTATAGCAATTAATCAAAATTACAGTGTAGGTTTGGTTTGTAAATGTCTTACCTTTGAAGCATATTCTTGTTGAAATTGTTCTCTGAAATTTTGTCTTGGTTTTGTAGGTGGAGGTCAGTGTGTGGTGTTTGTTTTTGAAAGTAGATCAAGCTTGGTGGTGGTTATGGAGTTTTGGTTTTGAGAGATGAAGAAGAAACTTTGATGAAGACGGTGACTGAAGGGACGTTTGGCAGAGATGGTTAATTAAAGTCGCAGGCTGGAAGTTACGTTTTTGTTTTTCCATTTTTTCGAACGAAATTATGATTTTGGGGATGGTAAAATCTTTGGGCTTTTTTATAAGTTTGGGCTGGGGTTGTTTTGGGTGCTTTTTGAGTTTTTTTTTCTGTTGGGCTTGATAGTGGCAGTGCTTGTAATTTATTGAAACTTCAACACTAATTTGTTATTTAATAAATGGATTTTGGGTGTGTTTATAAAGTATTTTCCATATGGGTTTTTTTTATAATTTCAGCACCCATTTTGGGTATATTAGTGAAGCTCCCAAAAAAATAATGAACAACTTTGGACCATATATATAAGAATATAATGTTTGAATTGCGTGATAAAATGTCGCCTCCCTCAACAAAACAAGAATGAATGGTTGAGGAGATAGACAATTGTATTATGAAGAGGGACGTCATTTGGCTATAATTTTCCTAGATCTATTGTAGCATGTGAAAACTTTGTCTTGGACCTTGACATTCAAAAGTCATATTTGGTACCACCACACATTAAAGTAGTCACTACCATCAAATTCTTTTAATATTTTGTCGAACTTGGTTATGTGACTCGTTTTTTAAGGATATGTGATTAAAAACATACCTAAAGGTGCAATATGCAGCACTTAATTTGTGTTTTCCAGTGAGGGGAGGTGCAATTGCTTGTGTCTTCATACGTCAGCCAATGCATATGCATATCAATATCTATAGATTATTTCAAGCATATAATGAGAAAATGTTTTATTTTTAAAAACATGTGCAATGTAAGGAAAATGTTGCACTTGTTTGAGAGTGGTTTATTTGTTGGCCTCAACCACATGGGCCCAAATTTAGAGATTTTTTTTTTTGGACTGACCCCAAATTTAGAGTTGGGGCATAAAATTCCGATAATGCGCATTTTAAAAGAAATGATTTAAAAAAAAACTCTATCAGTATGTTTTTTTAAATAATAAAAAATAAAAAGAACCATTTTGACCATAAAAAGTAAAAATAAAAACAAAAACGCCCCATAAATGGTTTCCGGACAAATAAAGTTGGAGCCTTTCACTGCATCAAGTTGGAGGCTTTGTTGGGGTTTTCCAATTTCTTTTCATCCAATCTCTCTCTCTCTCTCTCTCTCTCTCTCGGATCATAGGCTTGTAGAGTGGAAAGAAGGCAAGTCTCTCAAGTCTCAAACATCGTTCGTTTAGTGTGATATGTGTTATGGGCAGTATTTTTTTTATTTTTTGGGTTCTGATTTATGGGTTTTATTTGGAATTGTTGTCACTTTAGAATGAAGAACAAAAAGGAAGAGGAAGATGTTGTGTCTGGGACATTCACATGGGTCATCGACATCTTCTCTAAGCTCAAGACCGACAAACATTACTCTGACGTTTTCACCATCGGTGGCTTCAAATGGTACGTTTTATTCTATGTTGCCATTTTCCTAGAAGACCCATTTGTTCTTTTTTTTTTTTTTTTTTTTTTTTTTTTTTTTTTAGGAAGATGTTGTGTCTGGGACATTCACATGGGTCATCGACATCTTCTCTAAGCTCAAGACCGACAAACATTACTCTGACGTTTTCACCATCGGTGGCTTCAAATGGTACGTTTTATTTTATGTTGCCATTTTCCTAGAAGACCCATCTGTTCTCTTTTTTCTTTTTTTCTTCTTTTTTCGGGATCTGAGAAAAAACCCATCTTCAAAGATGGCATTTTGAAGCTCATATGGTAAAAGGAAAGTTTTGATGTAGCTATTTCTTTCATTCAACCATGGCTGTTTAAGTAACAAGCTCAAGTATCAAACTTGGCCCATAATTTCTGTTTTTGAGATTTTTACCAGGTGTGGTTGGTTTTTTATCAGGCGGATTCTTATACGTCCAAAGGGGTTACACGACTCAAAACCTGATGTCGTAGACCAGTTGTCCATGTATTTGGGTGTTGCAGATGCTTCAACATTGACACCTGGGCGGGCTACATATACACACTTTAGCTTCACCCTGGTTAATCAACTTGACAGCAGCAAGTCAAAAATAAAGCAGACACAGGGTATCTCTTTGCTCTTCATGTTCTCTGTTTTCTTGTCATTTACAATTTTTTGTTTTGGTTTTTTAAATTTATGTAACTTTGTCATCAAACAATATTCTCTTGATCTTTGTTTTTACCTGATTAATTACCTGGTGATGGGCTTTGCATTCTTTACTATGCCTTTTGTGTTCCTTGATATTTTTCTTTCACAGGCATTGCGAAAGAGTTCAAAGAAGAAAGGAGGGGGTGGGGCTACAAATCATTCATGCCTCTTTGCGAGCTTTATGACTGCAGTGCAGGTTATCTGGTGAATGATATATGTATTATTGAAGCCAAGGTTGAGGTCTTTGTTAACATTGGAGAGCAAGGAAGTACTGTTTATTCAACTTTGGAGTCCACAAAGAAAGAACGTAAAGGGCAGGAATCTTCAAACATCATTTCTGTGCAAGCTGCAGACTCTTCACCAGCACCTAAGACACCATCTTTTGAACGGAAGCCTCCATTCCTGGGTACACCTACTTCTGAAAAAGTTTGCAATGAGCTGACCGGTGAGCTGATGGAATTTATGGGTTTAGGAAAAATAGAGAAAGCTTTTGTTCCACTGCTAGAGGAAGTTTGTTCGTTGCATCCTTCATTGATCGAGTGTCTACATAAGAGAAATCGTAAAGTTAGTGAATGTGCATTCACAGCTTTGGGGGAACTCTTGCATTTTCTGAAGACTACAAGGGTGAAGGATATGACTGAGGACGCCTGCGTGCGCCTTCAAAGTTTATGGGAGGATGTTGAGATGTTCAGGTTTGACTTGGCCTGGCTGGAGCCTCATGTTCACTCTGCTTTGGATAAGAAGAAGTTCCTGGAAAGGGCAAGGAGAGTGAAAAGACTGAGAGAAGATGTGGATATTTTGGATAGTGAGAAGAAGAGGCGGAGTGCTCCTCTAGCTGTTACAGAGGCAGATCTTGAGGTGGCAAAGAGAGACCTGGCTAAGGAGGAAGAGGGCTTTGCGGAGACAGATATGGATAGAGAGCTAGGTTATGGGATGCCTTTGCCGAATTATAGAATTTTATGTTAGATGTGACTTGTAGGACAGGTAAATGAGATAGACATGGATAGTGAGCTAAGTTATGGAACCGTTAGCCTTATTTAGAATTTCATCTTAGATATGAGTTGCAGGACAGATATGGGCAACACATATTTGAACTTGTATGACATAGGTTTGTTAGCCTCCATCAACTCCCTGGTATGATCGATTTGGCAGGATTGCAGAGTTAATAGGTACTCTGCCTTTGTTCAAGTTATGGACTTGAATTTGCTTTTGTGAAAATCGCATAGTTTGGGACATATATAGTCTCCTTTCTTACAAAAAAAAAAAAAAGAAGATAATTTGTAAACCATTAAGTCATCTACTTGGGTCCTACTGTTATAAAAACTATAGTTTTCTTTTTCCGTAAAAGCCAAAAACAACCCTTTATATAAATAATATATAAAACAAATTGAAAATTCTTTCAAGGTAAAGTAAAATTAAATAAACAAATAATCGGTAAATAAAAGTAAAATAAATTAAGATTATGAAAGCAAGCCTGGTATGGTGAAGCACGTCAAAGACTATAAGACGCTTTCCTAAAGCTTTTGTAGCCTCTTTACGTGCAGGTATTGACAATCTACACGACTCCAAGATACAACCCCCAATACACAAGCTCAAGTTCTACTATGAACACGTTCACAGTTAGATGTAGGTCTCCAAGTCACAGAATTGTTGCTAAAAAATAATAATATAAGTAGAGAAAGTATAAAAGGTAGAAGAGGAGAGAATCAGATTGTGGTGGTGATTGTGGTATTTGATATTCTGATAGTATATCAAATATGTGAAGGCAGAGTGGCCTTTTTATAGGCATCTATGAATATGTAACCTTCATCACATTAAACTAGAAAATTAAGGCATTCAATATATAAATTATACCTGAAAATTATATATGTATAAGAGCATCTCCAGCAGACTCTCTATCCTCTCATCCCTAGCTACTTTGGCTAAAAAGAAGGAAAATCCTCCTTCCAGCAGTCTCCTTACTTGGCCCTCTATTTTGGAGAACTAACTTTTAGCTCTCTACATCTAGCAAGAAGGAGAGAGAAATGGAGGCTCGCCAAATTGAAGAGAGAGAAAAAGAGAGAAAAAGGGGGAGAGAGATACAGACATTTGGGAGGTTGGTGGGATTGGGTTTTTACTCTACTTTTTAATATATTTGATTTGCAAGAGAAAGAGGGAGAAAGATAAAGAGAAATTAAAATATTTCAGATTAGCCAAAATAGAGAACATTGCTAGAGGAAACACCTTTTAGTGGTTTGCTATAATAGCTAGCTATTTTAGCTAGAATTTGGCTAAAATTTGGAGACTCTCCTGGAGATGCTTTAACCCCCCGCAATAAATAAAATAAAACAACCAAAATAATTAAATAATCAAAGCGCTTAAATTTTTAAAACCTTTTTAAAATTCCAACACCAACAAAATAAATGAACTCAGTGCTTCAAGAAAACACTAAAATGACAACCATTAATTGAGTGGTCAAATAGTTTCGGATTCAAGTGATTTTTTTTGTAGAAATGATCTTTAAAGGAATACCTAAAAGATAGACAATTCGGATCATTGAAATTAAATATGGAATGGCCCCACAAGAGTATCCCTCTTGCGAGAAGAGCTTGCATGTCACGGGGATAACACTGTTTTACTATCCCCATCCAATTACATTATGCCATGTGCAATCCTTATTACATGTGGCGGAACGTGATGTTAGGGATAGTAATTAAAACAGTATTATCCCCATGATATACAAGAACCAAAACCCCTCAAAGAATAAAGGAACAACGGGAAAACAAGAAAAACATGACAAAAAATTTTCCCCTGTAAACCCCCTCCCCATTTTCTCCAGTCATCCCCTTCTCCCCTTACCAGAAACTTGACAAAAATTTACTTCATCCTACGCCAAGAAGCAATAAGATTTTTTCTTTGTTGTTCCCTAAACTTTTGTGGTCGATCCCACCAAGAAGCGGTTTAACCTTTTAAATGCAACAATCGTCACTATCTATTTTTCTGAGATTATTATTGTATTATATATTTGCTCCACTTCCACAACCCATTTGAGAAAGTCTTCGATGTAGTCACTTTCCATAAAGCATGGAACATTTGCAACATGACATTGACGAGGTTCGCTTCTGGCAAATCCTCTAGCACACTCCCCTTCAATGTTGGATATCTCCCCACGACTAGCGTTGATGAGGTCTATATGCATCTCCCATCGTCGTTCATGATTGATCGTTGATCTAAATGACAACCCGTTCTAATACCGCTTAACATAGTACAAAAGCATAGTAAATGGTAAAGGGAAAACAAGCTTTAACCCTACAATTGATGAATGGAATCCACCAGGAAAATAAGAGAAAATCTCTAATTTTATTAATAGAATGATAAAAGATTACAAATACAACTCAATGAGTTGGCTTAAATAGAAAACTCAAAATCCTAACATTGTAGGAAATCCTAGATTCTCGGATATTCCAAAATTATATATAAATATTGCAAGAATCCATATTTGCTTAAAACTTCGTCAACTAATCTAAAAGCCTCAATGATAGGGCTTCGTTCTTTTTGTAGCACCATAATTGATGCTCAATCATGATTTTTTGTGTGTGAAACCCATTTTTATAATTTTGAATTTTTTCCTTTTTCTGAATTTTCTTCGAACAAACCCATATTTTGCCATGTATCAATCATCAATAGGGGGGAATGTTCATCTACATAAGCTGATGGCAGCAATGGAAAACTACAGTTGTTTTGTTATATGGACAAAATGTGAACTCCGTAATTTGTTTTATAGGTATTTAGAATCCACTTTTATATGGTGTGAGTCTTTTTCTTCTTCTTCTTTTTTTTTTT